AACACAAGAGCAGAAATTCCATTTAGATGGTGATTTTGGTGGTTTTTTTTGGGGGTGGGGCTGGGGGAGGGACAGATTTCATGATTTCATCTCTTATTGCAGCATATTGGTTTTCTGGTGTTGCAGTAAACACTGTGTCTGTTTCATCCCCTGGTTCTGAAGTGAGTGAGGTTACTGTTTATCTGAGCTGAAACACTATAAGCTACTAATAAAAGCTAGGCTCTTCTGAATGATTATTTTGCTCTTCTGGTCTATCTGCTCCTGTAGTAGGGCCCTCACAGCCCTGGGAGGGAGAAGGGGAAGAGGCATGTGTCTAATCAGTGTCCGTATTCTCATGCATATAAGCTGCACCTCAGATAACCGGTTCTCCCTTGGAGCTGTTGTTCCTTGAGAATAAATCCTCAGATAATCTGCACAAAACCAGAGGCACTGGGGTTACGGAGGCAAAGACGGGCTGCGGGACATCAGAGGGAGTGGTTTGGATGGACCTGTGCTGCTGTAGGATTGCTGCTTTGTCATGCAAGCCACCAGGTCTGTGAAAATTCAGTCGTCAGGCCTGTGGGACCTGGGCTCCTTAGAGCTGGCCTGTGTGTAACGTCTAAAATACCGTCCAGCTGTGCTGAATGCTCCTGGCATTCTTGGCAATACTTCTGAAAACATTGTATTCACAGTGTTGTGCTGCACAGTGATGGTAACTGATATTTCTACAGAGTCCATCACCTGTGGACACCAAAATGCAACAGTGTTGTGAATTGTCAAGTGACCGGCTTTCCCACTGTCAAAAAAAAAAGAGCAGCAGACCATCAGTGTATAAAACCAAAAATGCAAGTGTTGCAGCCAATTCTTTTTCCTTTGCTTACATGTGTATCATATTTCCAGCCATTGTGTTCAGTAGCATTGAGGCATTTCATGCTTGGGTCCCGATTCTGCAAAGGTCGGTACTCAGAATTCACTTTGTTCAATATGAATAGTCCCAATGAATCAGTGGTGTGCACAACATCTTGGTGCATAAACCCCTGAAGGATTCTGGCTCTATCCATTTTTTTTTTTTTTTTAATTAATGATTATGGCCTGTCACCAGTGTTTAGTTTAACATTTTCAAGTAATCTGTATGATTTTTGAATTCCTCGTCTTAATTCCAGGTTGTAGTGAAGTGCCTGGGTGATGGACAGGCATGGTACAAAGGTTCATACTGCAGTATCTATGGATTAATCCTGCATTGTGACAGTACAGATTTAGAGGTGTATGGCCCTGTCATACATTCAGTGGAAAACTACAAAAGTTACCAGAAAAGGTGAAATTCAGGATTTAGGTACATACTTTGTTGCAGACGTTCTATCTGAAAACTATGAACATCTTGTTCAGATAATTAATTCTTAGTAATTATTAGTCATGTTACAAGTAGTAAGTGATATACCAAAGGTGGCAAAAGTGCTTTTTTGTGCTTTTTTTCTCTCTGTCTCTCTCTATTTTTTTAACTTTTTACACTTTGGGTGCATGGAAGATGGGAAAGTTAGAAGTAAGCCATTGAGTAGAACAGGAGCTGTAGACTCCTGTGTATGAAATGGTAGCATGTTGCAAGAAGTGATGTGCTTTTAGAAACGTGAAATGTTCATGAGAGTTTGCTGCCTTATTTCATTAAAAAAAGCTTCCTTTTGTGGTAATTCATGATTCTCCTTCTTGTGCAATTGCTGAGATAGACAGTCTCTCAAAATGACAGTAGTTTGGTGATCTGTAATTCTGGAAGTTGCTGGGCATGAGATGTTTGCATTGCACCTGAAAAGCAAAGCCGTGTGTAAGGTGTGGGCACAGCTCCAGGTGGGTTCACTGCAAATAAGCAGATGGATGTCCAACTACCCTAACTATTGCTGCTGGATGTTCTGCACTGGCTTCGTGTCACAAATTTTGAGGAAAATAGGAGTGGCAGTACATTCTCAGAGACCTGTCAGAAATGTTGGCCTATATAGATGCGTGTGCTTTGCAGGTCGTTTGTATCTGGACAGATTCTTCTTTAAAAAATGACTTAGTGGTTAGTACAAATTTTTTTTTATGATGAAGGTGAATCTGTTTCCAGCATCAAGGCTGGCTTGGTAGCAGCACTGTTTCTGTGTAGTGGCATATTTTCTGTGAAGGGCAGTTAATGATAGACCGAAGTGTTGTTTTGTGATGGAGGCATCGCCACTGTTGCTAGCTCTGGCATGAGGAAAATGTACCACAGAGAACTGGAAGGTGCCATGCGGGTTGCAGGTTTTAACTCATCGTTACTGCTATCAAGCTCGATTTGCAGCTGCTGCATAAAAAGAGAGGTGTAGGTGCACTCGGCTGAGAAGTGCCAAGGTATTTTGGACCTACTTACCTGACTTATTAGGTAGAAGGAAGAGGACCCAAGTGTGTGTTTCTGTGTCCTAGGGAAGCCATCTACCAACTTACACCTGCAAATGAACCCTTTTGTCCTGCTAACATAGCTGGACTCCTCTGCATCTACCAGCAATGGACAAATCAACCATACTTTTCCAGCTCCAGCAGAATAAGGCAGTCCTTTACACAGGTGACTGTGGAAGAAGACAGCAGCAGGAGGTTTCAGAAAGGCTTAAGCATTCCTGGTCAGCAGCTCCACATACAGATTCTAATGCGATAGGCAGGGATTTACCCTCTGACACGCCTGATGCACGTATCCCAGACACCAGAGAAATATGGGAGGAGATGGACAGGCTCATATAGGCTTTTCTTGATCAGCATCTTTTTATGCCACTGTTGGACACAAACCAAACTAGAGGTTCTCAGTCAGTATGGGTAGACATTTGCCACAGCTCAACAAAGGGATCTCTGGGTAGGTTGCCACCCTCCGCTCCTGGGCAGGCAGGAACATGGCTAAGCAAAGAGCCAAAAAAGGCCTATTTAAGGACAAGATGGCCAGTGTTCCCTGGCCAGATACCTATAAGTACCACTGATTGCACTTCATCTGTGTTTTCCTCGAACGCTTATCTAAGGGACTTGGTTTTAGTCTTAATGGTTTACATCCAGGCTTTACTAGCCTGCCATTTCAGTCTTTTCAGTCTGTTATCCTAAAATTCTGTATATGTAGATGATTGTATTTAAGAGACTGTGGGTCTTGTTTCTAAAATATTAACGTTTATAGTGCTCAGACTGTTTTTCTGGAGATCTGTGATTCTTGTTTCTCTATTTTGCTCTGAATTCTGGGCACAGTAACATTTCATGGATGTATTTGTTTTGGAAAAATGCCAGTTACCTTTAAGGTCCATGTTAAAAAGTAACCAGATGGGGAATATGTTGCTACTTTTAATTTTTCAGGCTGCTGTAGAATTTTAGAAAGATTAGAAAAACAATTACTAAATATTTTATTCGGTAACTTGTTAAGAGGTTATCTATATCTAAAGCATTTCCTACAAAAGTCAAAATAGGGTCATATATTCCAAGCAGAAATCTTAGTTTAAGACAAATAATAGTGCCTTTTTCACTTACGGAAGCTTTGTACTCTTATCTAGCTAACTAATATAGCTATGTTGCTATTTCTCATTTTGCCATCGAGTCAGTCACTGAATACTGTTCATCTGTGGTATGTAATGTAGTTAAGGCATAATATATATAGGCAATGAAAGGTCTTTGTCATATAGTATAAGGTCACCATCATTAATTTTCAAATTATAAAAAGGGATTTGCTGTTTTGTGGTCATTATTGCAATATAATGTGTTGTGGATTCTGCCTGCACATAGAATGAACTGTGATCTTAATTAGAACTTTGACAAGCCTACTCCGATAAAATGATGAGATTATTCGTAATTGATGTCACAATCAATTACCAGTTAGTTCATCATGAATCTACTAACAGGTCTAGCCTTGGTGCTGGCCCCAGGATGTTGATGAGTGTGTGGCTGCCCTGTTCATGCTGTTACTGCGACAGGAGGGCAGATTTTCAGTCAACATCCTAATGACCTCTTTTGAAGTCTATTAAATTAATGACCCTGTCACATTGGTCTAACCTCTTACATCTTCATTTTGGATTTTTTGTTGCAAACCATTGTTTTTTGAGAACATGATAGAACAGATACTTTAGAGCACTCCCTCTCATCCCTCCAAATCTGGCACTGTGTCTTATTAGATGAAATAAAAATTAGTTTATTATACAGTCATGAAATGTAGAAAGCAGAAATTAGGCCACATAAGACAAACAATACGTGATACCTTTCTATTCTGTTTTCTCTTTACATTTCAATTCAATCCTGCTTAATCATAGGTGCCTAAAGGACACGTTTGGTTAGAAGGTGATAATCTGAGGAACTCTACAGATTCCAGGTGCTATGGACCTGTTCCTTATGGACTGATAAGAGGACGCATTTGTTTTAAGGTATTTATAGTACCTAAAATATTTGCATTAATATGTGTGTAATGCATGTTTCCTGGGCATTAACACTTGCTGTCTGAAGTGTCTGAGCAAAGCAGACATGAAGGAGAGCTCAAATGCATTGGACACTTGCTGTAGGAGGGTAACATAGCAATGTTTTGAGGTTTGGTGGGAATTCTTGAGCAAGGATTTGGTTTTTGGGAATCCTTCTTTGAGCAGTCACTGCCTTTAAGAACTGACAATTATTTTGCAAGCAAAACCAAACTATATGCAAATATACACACATGAAAAGTATACTCTATCCTTAATGTGATTTTTGCTTTTGCAAAATGGTGAAGGAAGGGCAGCTTCCTACTTTTGTGCTGTTGTAACTTGAGAAATGTAGTTCCGTAATGGAAAAACCAAAGATGGAGGTTCTAGGACCTGCATACATAGCTTAGACTTGTGGACTGGCCTTGCTAACTCTGTGCTTTAACAGTGAAGTCAAATCTGTGCTACTGCAATCATCCTCCACTTCTTTACTAAAAATCCAAAAACCATGAACACAGTCTTGAATACTGTGTAAACCTACATGGCTCCTTCTTTGTCTGTTTCAGCAAGTCTAAAGCTTTATTTCGCACTAACCTACCTTTTCATATTGTCTGCATTATTAATTTAGTTACTTACCAAAAAGAAGGGAGTAAGACAATCTCCTCACCATAGCAATTGTAATAGAAGAAGAGAGGGAGAGCGTACTGTATGGACTTCAGTGCTAGCTTTTCAAAAGCTAGATTTCAAATGGTATCATTCAGAACAATTATTTTGAAAACTATTCTCCATATATTGCACAACAACCACAGATGTTTAATTAGTGCCGTATTACGTGTGGGGGGAAGATTACATACACAAAACTTTGTTAGATTAGAAATATTTAGTTTTTATGAACACAACTTAGGTCCTTTCAAAAAATGAACAAAAAAATGCCAACCAATGTTGCAATTCCTGACTGTGGTCTCTAACTGCTCATTAAACACTCACGACCACCGTTAGGTTTTGTCTGACCTGTGTTCTTTACAGATAGCATTTGCTTTGAGCTCTTCCCCAGTGTTTGCTGAGGGTTCTTCCTTCTTTCTCTGCACTATTTGCTTTGTCACGTACCCCAGAGCAAAAAATGATTCTAAATAAGGCTACTTTTGTGAATAAAGTTACAGCTTGGATTATTAACTGTCAGAATACAGATGCTGCTGATATACTGACTGACCTCCTAATGGGAATCTGGTGTTTGTCATCAAATAAATAAATAATCTCCAACTGATGTGCTAGTTTAGAAAAAGCGGTGTTAACTACTTTAAGGAGACTAATAGTAAATAATGGCTATATTAGTAACCTATGTTGTGTGGACAGCCATAATTTTTCACATTATCCCTCCACAGCAATAGATTTGTGTTCAGCTTGAATGCCACCAAGATGTCTGAGAGGCTTTAAATGAGGTGACATGACTGAATTCTAAGTTGAGGAAGCAGTCAATGACCTTGTAAAATGAATGGAACTTACACTACGGATGTTACATACCGAAGTACTTTAGAACTCCAGAATATTATCTGTTTAAAAAAAGTATGCAATCAGTTGATGCTTGATTAAAATAATCTTTTCTTCTTTTTAAACATTTTTATGACAGTTATTATATGGTGCGAATAGGCTAGTGATTATTAACATTTTAATGAGATTTAAGCAAGAATGAGTTTACTCTTCATAATTATAGTTTGAGTTGTTTATGGTGATTCACATCAGACTCCATCTAGCTATTGTATGTTGCCATTGATCATTACAGTAAAAGGCCAGTAAAAGTACAGTAAAAAAGAATTTAGCTGTTCCACATGGTTGTAGCTAATTAGCAGACCACTGGCCAAGAAAATATAGTCTGCTAAACGTTTGGCATCATGAAAAATCTCTTACTGTCTTGAGAACAGAAGCTTAATTTGGTTTATCTTACAGCGGAAAGAATTAACATTTATCTATGAAGTTTACACCTACGGTTCTCAGCGTTGGTGCACCAGGTTTTAACTCAGAGGGAAGTAAATGATACTTGAATACATTTGTCTTGCTTCCTTCTTTCCAGCATATCAACTGCAGTTTTAGTAGTTAAGCTCATTGCATAAAAAGGCCACTGAAAGATAAATAGATTTGCAGTAAAACCCCACCGAGGGGAGGACTCCCTTCTTTGGAAGAAGCACGAGTTCTGTTTATCCTACACAGGACAGCCTATGCATTCCCTGGACATACGCTTCGTGTCAGAGCTAGACTTGCTGAGTATCTTCAAAAGAGCTAGTTATCCCCATTTATGCCCCATCCATCAGATCAGATTTATGTTGGCCAAACCAAAGAGGGCAAAAGGAAATAGCCACTAATTGGACTAGCCAGTTTGAACCAACAAGTCAGAGTCAACTTCTGTTGGAAATTATTACACGCAGTGGCATGTCTTTGTTCCACCTTCTTTCCAACTGGAAGCAATGTTTCTCAGAGTCTCTCCTGCATGCAAACTAGATAAACCATCATTTTCTTTCTAAATCTACCACTAAGTTTCCTGTGATGAATTTATAACCGTACCATCAAATAGTATTTAAAACACTTCTGATTACTGTCACTGCAAGCAAGTTAAGGTGCAGAAGGTGTGATGTAAGTTGCCTGAAATTATAGTTGCATAGTAGTGAATGGCTTCTCTCCTCTGGTCCTTTACTCAGATGGGCTTGCACTCGTAATATGGAATATTCCTACCTCCTTTTGCTCTTGTCTGCTCAGAAGCCAAACAAGGGCATGACAGCCAGCCTGCAGCCAGTATAGGTCTTTCTGCAAAACTCTGAACTGTATTGCTTTACTGCTAGCCAAAATCACAGATAACCTTCTGTTACTGTTTCATAACGCTCTGTACTTCTGTGGAACTTAAATTAGCTCACTGGTTAGCATGCATGTAGAGACATGTATTTCTGTCTGTCAGCAGATGCTCCTCATGCTCTTCCCTAGCTGCATGTGCTAGAAAAAGACATGTATGTTCAAAGATACTTGTTCAACAGAGCTTTGAGCCTTTTTCAGATCCAGAGAACTCGATGTCCAGGGAATAACTCATCCTTGTATATTCTCAGGGACCGAGGTACAATCTAATTGAGTTGTTGCAACTTAACTTACCACAGTGCTAGAAGGGCCTGATGGATGCAAGTGCATCCAAGCTTCCAGCAGTGCACTATCTCAATCCAGTAGTAAGTTGATGCTGTTCCTTCCCTCTCAGTCTCTCATTCTTACCTGCCTTCACCTCTTCTGTAATTGCAGTAGTAAGTAATACTGAGAAAGTCATGCAAGTCACAGAGACTGAGATACTGAACCTTGGCACTGTGCTTCCCTTTGCAAGCAGAAAAAAATACTTTTTACATTCATGCAGAAAGCAGCAAGGCTCCTTCTGTGCTGTGGATATTCCATAAATTCAGTTGAAGAGGAATTTGCTCTTCCTGACTGCATACCTTCCTTAAGATCAAATTTGAAGGAAAGATGAACAAGATAAACATCATACTAACAGATGTTCTGGGAACAAGATAGCACATCGTCCTTCTGTGTTTAGGTCACTTCATTTGAGCAGGGACTGTGAGATTTTTATAGGATTAGAGCCACAACAGGACGTTCATTCTTCAGCACTGCCTCTTTGCCTTCTTTCTGCTGATCTCCTAGTGCTATCTTTGAAAGAACATGTAGTGAAAAGAGGCAGTCAGAGGAGACACCGTAAAAGACTCTTCTTGATTTCACATTACCTTTTTTGCATCCAAGACCAGCCAGCCTACGTGTAATTAATGACTATTCAGAAGAAAGTTCTGCTGGGAGCATCACTCTGACACTTGTGCTTGTACATGATTCTGATTTGTGCTCTTTCCCATTGCCACATTCTCAGAGGGGCCCCTTGGTTGAGGGCACTTCCTGGCGGCAGGCACTCCTCCCCTCTGTGCCTTTTTGCATGGTATAAGCTTACCTGTAAGCCCATGGAATTCTTTGTTCAAGCTTCAGTGTACTTCAGATGTTCATCTTAAAAATACAAATGTGTACCTCACAGAAATACTTTCACTGAGAGCTAGTGTTCATGCTATTTTCCTCTCCTAGATGAATCAAATATATACACCATGTCTTTTAAGTTAAGAGGCTTACAAAGCTAGAAAAAGTTGAAATTAGAAAATATTTTCTAGGAATGTACTTCTTTCCCAGGCTAAAAAAAAAATATTGTGCTTTGGGAGGCTCTTCATAGGAAGAAATGCTGTCTATTAATTAATGTTGTCTCCATCCACTACAGAATTAGGATTTCTCCTGGTATACAGTGTATATTTCTACACAGGTGAGAAGTTTCAATCCTTGTGTTATAAAAGTGATTCAGGTTACGAAAACTTCCAACAATTACAAATGAAAGTACTGAACTTTGAGTTGTGATAAAAATCTCATTATTTTACAGATATGGCCTCTGAATGACTTTGGATTTCTACGTGCAAGCCCCAATGGCCATAGATTTCTTGATGACTGAAAGAATTAAATGACTGTTGCCAGCTTGTGTAATATTTTCTACTGAAATCAATGGAATTATTTTTGTTTAGAATAAACACAAGTGTTATTTGACAAGGATGTCTCTTCTTTCTGCGATTATATCTAACTTTAAAGTGGGAATGATACACTGCTGTCCTCATCAACAGTGATATGCCTCTGATTTTGTTTCCTCTGGCTGTTTACAGTAAGTGCTTGGATTTATTCAAAAAGTTTTGAATTTTACTAGGAGACAAAGTTAACATTGACTGTTAAGAAGCGATTAAGAAAGTGATGCATTATTACACTGTCACACAGCTAGAGCCACACACAGGCTATACCTACATCAGCAAGTACTGTGGCATGCTAGGACTCAAACAGAAAAGCTTGTGGATCTGATACCCATTTACTCATAGGTGTTTTGTAGGATTTTCCCCAAACTAGTTCCACTTTGAGCCAGCAGTGTGCTCAGTAGGAGTCATATAAGGAATGAAGCCTGCATTTGTTCAGATGATGGATGGAGTCCATGAACAGTGGACTCCTGGCTCTAAGCTGAAAAGTTAATGTAGATGCAGTGTTGGTGAACGAGCACTGTACCTGCCACTTTGTACCAGGAGAACCACCCAGCTAGATCTGCAAACCTCTACCACCTCTTTCTAGGGGTCAAGTCCTTTTTGAGAATTTAGCAGAAGCTAATTTAAATGTTTAGCATCAAAATAGAAAATATTCCTGAATGGGAACTGTTGAGTCACGGCCTGAACCACTGATGGAGAACCTGGGGAAAGGAGCCAGTCAGTCTTGGAAGCACAGGTGATGGCAATTCAGCTGTGTGACTGGAAGGAGTGGAGCCTGGCTGCACCTCTCTTAGACCTCATTATGGGCTGACTGCCACTGAGGAAGGTTCTCTTTCTGGAGATTCCTCCTTTGTGGAGTTTATCCCTCTGAGCCTAGATCTTTGGAAACAAGTGAGCAGTCTTTTTCCCTTCCCTTATAACACCTTTCTATTGTGTTAGTCCCTTCGTCATTACACCTCTTGTATCACCATTCCATCATGTTGATCTTTCTGATTGTTACAATTTCCATTTCCCATTAATACACCTGATTCTTCATTATCTTCAAAGCATTCTCACACGTATGTCTCCTGATTAAATTTTGTCATCTGAGACTTTAAAAGGATTTAACTTACTTAAGAGCTAAGGCCCGAGCTGCAGTCGATAAGAGACAGAGACTGAAAGAAGCCACTCTGTTGTTTGCTGGGAAAGAAAGGTTGCAGGTGTACAGAACTTAGTGTTGGGTTCTGGAAGTTTTTTATAAATAGGCCTTTGGTTGAAGAGAAAAAAGAACAAATGCTATGTCTTTAAAGATATGTTAGTAAAGGGCACGTTTCCTCTCTTGAGACAGACTGAACTTGTTCTCGGAGCATCCTTGTTGTCCCGTTTGTCCTGTGAGATGCTATCCTGCATGTCCAATGTTTTGAAAGTTCGTAACTCAGTGTGCTTGTCTGGAGCAGTCACTGAAGGATCTCAATGACAAGTGAACATGTGTCACAACAGACCAAAGATACATCTTTGCTTTCGCTCTTGGAGACAGCATAACTCCCACCGCATCGGCATGAAAGGGTGTAACATTGCTCATCTGCCAAGGAAAGAAAAAAAAACCTTTAGTGCTCAAGATGAATTGGGAATTTATTTTGGATTATTATTTTACAGAGCTGCTCTTGAAAAATTTGTGCATGACCTCTCAGTGCTGGACTGTGAATGTCAATACTTGTGCTGTATTCTTGTTTCTATGACTGAGAGATGTAAAACAGCCAGAGTCAGTGTAGTCTCTTTAAAAGAACAAATAATAAAAAGGTGCTTATTAGTGAAACAGGGATACGTTGTAAGGACTGCATCACTGAATACTTCCAAAGGAGAACTTGATTCTGACAAAGCACCAACATCTTTAGACTGCAATTAAGAACAAACTAAGGAGTGTTTGTCACACAAATGACAGGTCAAGGTTCCAAAACAGACTGCTAGCTCAGGAAAGAAACAAAAGAAAGGAAAAGTAGTTAAGCTTTCCCCCATCCCCAACTCTATAAAAATATAAATTTAAATCAGCTACTACTCTAAAAAGCAAATAAATTATAAAAGCTAGACTAATATAAAGGAGAAAAGTAACACACTGTTAGGTGGAAAAACATGTATTTAGAAAATGCATTCTTGTATCATAAGAAGAGCAATAAGATGCTTGAGAAATTCTGGGAGAATCCATAAAAGTAAAATCAATTGTATTCTAAAGAGAGAGCTAGGTGAAAAATGATCTGTGCCCAAAGGAAGGCAGAGCTGGAGGCGGGGATGGGGAGGAAAGTGAGAGAATGCAAAGTAAGTATCACAAAGTCAAGAGCCAATTCAACTCAACAGTGCTGGAAAAGGGCTTCAGCTGACTCTTGGAAGGCAGGATTGACAGGAACTAGCAGAGAAATGGAAGAATAGCAAGTAATCACAGAATAGAATAACTAAATCTGAGGAAAATATTAAAAAAAAAAAAGAAGAAAGGTATAAGATGCAGAAAAAGATGGAAAATGTTTTATGTGACAATGAAAGGCACTAAGAACAGGAAAGCATTCATACCTTCAATCCAGGACATATCCTGAAGATAAATCTGTGCATGTAATGGCCATTCTTTTGTCAGCTTATCTTCTATAAAGAAAATAGTGACAAATGCTCAGCTCAGTAACATACAAGTTAATTCTTCCTGGTAAATTAACACTTTTATTCCTAGCAGTAAACCTTAAACCTGGTCCCTACCAGAGAGTCATACCTAGTAATCAGTTAAAAGTTGTTTTCAAATTTCCATTTTCCTGTGTAAACCAGGGAATTTCTGAAGGACCTTCATATGGTGAAGATGTATTATTAAAACATTATTACAAAACTGGAAACAGTTTTCATGCATATCCCAAACAGTTACATGAAATTAGGGCCAAACTTTTATTTGATATGAGTGCCTTTAAAAAGCCTGGCTATAAATAATCTTCAACAGGCTGTGCTATGAGTGTGCTTACCTGTACTTTCCACAGAGTCGCAAGGAGGTTGAGATTGGAAAGGACCCCTCTTAACCCCCCTGCACAAGCAGGGTCAGCTACAGTAGGTAACCCCAGGACCACAGCTAGTCAGGTTTTCACTATTTCTCTGCATAACCTGTTCTCCTTTTGTGAGAAGCCAAAGAAAAACATCCCAGTAAGCACAAAACTGCTAGAAGGATGCTATGATTCCTGCAAAATGATATTCCTAGCAAAAGATAAATGAAAAACAGTTTTAGGGGCCAAGTGCTCTTCTCCAAAAAAGAGATTCTTAATACAGAAAGAACATCAGTTCTAGGCTGCACATGTGAGATCATTGCTGTTTGATCCCCTAGGCTCATCCAACACTGAGTGCAGCATGAAAGGAAGAAGGGTGCAGTGCAATTCAAATTGTCAGACACTAACTGTTCAGTATAAATACAAATCTATCAGCAGATGGACATTTAATGTCCTGAGTTCACACCAATTTGACAGTGTCAGATTTTGTTCAGTTACAAACAAAGCCTCAAAAGGTATTATGAAAAACAAACATAACTTAATACACAAAACCTCCCAAATGCTGCCTGACACATGGAAATTCCAACTCCACAAATGCTGTTGTTTCCTATTGTAAAGAACCAGGGATGCCTGAAACTGACCTTCAGCATATTGACAGAAATATCTTAGATTTGGCAAGACTCAGTAGCTTAGTGTATATTTCATGTTTAAATCAGGTTGTTTTCAAGAAAATTCCTTCTCTTTGATCAGTGAGTTTTTAAGTGGGTTTTCTCATTTAATAACACAGTTTATGATAAAGCAGTGTCATCAACTGCTTTCTACAAAAAGTAAAATTACAGAGAAAGAGTTTCTTATTCTAGATCTACTTACTGAGCTCTGGCTGGAAAAAAGAGGAGGTCCAGATTATAACTTACTTTAATTCCCAGGAGACAGCCCTACCTAACCACCAGATAAAAGATATTCTAAATGGTTTCCCAGCTTCTAACTGTGTAATTGCTCTTTACTGTGGACTGAAATGAAGAAAGAAGGAAACTTCCTAACTACTTCCTTTAGCTGTGATTTGAGAAGTCTGATGTGCATTTCCTTGGATACAGTGTTACTCAGATAAGAAAACTCTCTTTCCTTGGAAAATGTCACTATGAGAAGAAATAGACCTGAGCAGCAAGGACACAAAGTAGGGATCACAGTTCTGTACTGTGGTAATTCGGCCCATTTCCTGATTCCAGACTGTTTCTAGATTTTGTTCAGTTATCATTTAGCATTAAAAAAAAAAATCAAAGGAGATGGCATCACATTTTGTTCACTACTACACTAACAGAAATGATACCAAGAAGCCAGAGTTAAGGTACTTAAGAATACAGGAGAGATGGAATTCAAATAATATGATTTGGATAGTAAAATTTTGTAACTTTAGAGAAATACTACACAAAACTTGGTTTCTAATGAAACAACGTTTAATTTGGGGCAGTAATTGTAATTCAAGAACTTCCCAGGTGCTGATGATCGGAACTGAAGAGAACTGCAATTTTAACACTACTTATTTCACTGTTCCTATTTATTCCTAAACATCCCAGTAATGTTCCAGAAAAGTTGCACATCTCCGATCTTTATCTAATCAAATAATGGAGTATTTCTTTCTTTGGAACACCATCACCTGCTTGCTGCTACCTTCCTCTTCAAAACACAATGGTGTATTTTAAACATCAGCAGGTACAAATCATTGCTTGGATAATTTCCTGCCTGAGCTGAAATTGTTATTCCTAGTGCAGTGCCCGAACCTGAGCAGACTCACTGGTATTTCAGAAAGATGTTCGTTTGCAATTAATACTCTCAACTGGCTTGAGTCCCCAAACTTAACACATCACCCAGCGACTGCTCTGTCAGTTTTATATGCTGCAATTATTTGCTTGTCTGCATCAGAACTGGAGAAACTTATCCTCCAGAGTTGAACAAAGCTGTTTTATTTTCCTTATTCTCCTATTCAATGTACTATTGAATGTAAAATAGCTTAGGACAGCACAAATAGCTTTGGCTAATTATTTTAACGTAGAAGCACAGCTCAGTATGAGTTGGGGAACTTAGAACCAGAAGTATAACCCAGTGTTTTCACAGAGTGTACTAATTTCCCCTGTTCTTCCTTGTTTCAGCTACGTGATTGTTATTACCTATCTCACAGCCACATCTCTTAGATTCTCTGAAGAAAATCAGTGAGAGAAGGTTACTTAAGAATGGTATCCTTACCAGCCCTGAGTTATAGCTGGCAGCTTTACTTACATGCAACACGTGCCCAATCTGTAGAATTCTGCGTACAGAGTTGCACTTTCAGAAACATTCCTGGCTGTGGGTAACTGTGAAGACTTGAATTATCTTTCCTAACTTGAAAAACAAATTTTAATTCACAAGTAGTACAGCCTGCCTGGCTTTGCCATCTATTGGATTTGTCTGACAACAAGAGGTGAAAGGATTCCGCAGCTCCATTGTCTCAACTGCAGGATCTAAGAAAACACTGGCAGGCTCATCAGAGAGGTTTATGAGCCTGCAATTCAAAGAGATTAAAAGGAAAAATCTACTGAGATTCTTTCAGGCTACAGAACAACATTAAATAACTATTAGCGGCTTGGTTCAGTAAAGCTTTACTAGAGCCCTTGCTGGGTCATTCAGAAATTGTAAAAGATGAAAGGTATTTAAGTTTTACTTGAGGATACAATAAATATTTCTTGGTCTATTTAAGGCTGAGTTTTAGGAAAGAGGTTGCAAGCAGTAAATGGAAATTTAACCCCTTTAACAATTTATGGTAATAGTAAAGATGGTCATAAGACAAGAACAATTTTTCTAACTCTAACTGTTGTATATTCTTAGCACTGACTTTTCTTTAAAAAACAAGATAAACACTTACAATTACCAAAGATCAAGATATGTATTGTCAATCAATACTGTCATCACCCAAAGCCTGAATATTTACAGAATTTTATTTTTTTCTCCTTATAGTCTATTTATTTTTTGAATAATTACTAAAGTTTGAGGCTCTTACGTAATTTAAAATAAGCATGCTTTAATTTGAAATTATAACATTTAAATTTATTTTTTTTTCCAATCAAAAGACCTTTTATTTTATTAAAATAAAAAATAAAAAATAATAAAAAAATTGCTTCACTCATACTCCAAGGAGCTGCAGTAGAGGGTTTGTGTTCCATACAGCCATAAAATCCATGGCTAGAGATGGACATAAAGTTCTGTCACTTATGGCCATCCAAAAAGCTTAGTTTTAGTTTCAGTGCTTTTTGAGAAGGAATTTTTGTAACAAGAAACAACTCACCCTCCCCCCCTCTTCAAAGGGACCTTGAATACAGAAAAGGGCTGACAGGAACACCAAAGATTAAGTCCTGCTTTTGGGTTGGAATATCCAAATGCAGCAGTTCTCTGTGAGGCAACTGGCCAATAAGCAGTTTTCCAGGAGATGACCTTGGGATTCTAGTGGACAGCAGGCTCAGTAAAGTTAGCAGGGCACTGCTAAGTGCATGCAGCATCTTTAGGGAGTCATTTTTATTATTGTTCTCTCTTCTTGACACTTCTGAGGCTACATCTGATGCTCTGTGTCCAGTTTGAGGCTCCCCAGTACAAAGCACTGACATACAGAAATAACTCCAGTCGCCTACCAATATGGTCAAGGGTTGAGACAGAGCATACAAACAGAAGCCAAGAACAGGTTTTGCATCTCATTGTCTATAAGTGCTTAAAGGGAAGACTTCTTTGAAGGATGCTAAGCAAGTGACACAAGATGCAAGGAACCCTTCCATTTAACTTGGTTAAAAATACTGGAACAGGCTGTCAAAAAAGCTGTGGCATCTCTTTCCTTAGAGAAATCAAAAAAAGACTGGAGAAGGTCTGAGCAACGGATCTGTGCCAGCTTTGAGATTGATCTAGATGGCCCATGAAGGTCCTTTCCCATCTCAGTGAGTCTCTGAGTTTTTTGTGCCTTCAAACTGTGACATATCATGAACTTTCAAGGCTCAAATGACTTTACTATGAAAACTGCAGAACAAGCTGTTTGCAACCTAAGCTCACCAAAAAGCTTTTTCATGACTTCTACTGTCAGATTTGATTTTAAATGTGTATTCCTCTTTTCTAAGTAGAATACCAAACAAATAAGGGAAAGTTGGAAATAATGGAGAAAATCTGTTGAGGAAAGAAGTCCATTGTTAATAGGTAAACTGTGATGCAGCCTCCAGACCCCCATGGATCTCTATGATGCTTTCAGAAAAAAGCAGTATTAAGATATAAAAGCATATTTACTTGTTATTTTCAAAGAATTAAAAAACGAAAAAAAGACAAAAAAAAAACCAGAACCAGAAAAAAACCATAGACTCCATAGTATTCAAGCTTCTAAGAACTTCTCAGGCCACTGAATACCTAAGCTAAGTAATTAACAATGATTTAATCTAACACAGTAAAGTACATACAGATCAGCAATATCTGCTATGGGAAAAGACTACAGTGCAGGGGACTTCTTCCTGATGGCAGCCATACATACACATGCACACTGGCATCTTCAGATTCTGCTTCCTAGGCTTTGCAGTTTTACTAACTTGCTATATGATCTTTCTCATCACAATTCCCCTTAGCTGCTGTCTCAGTGCCTTTGTTTCTGTGAGCCCTTGCAGCAGCATCTACAAATTTGTCTAGAATCATGACTTCAGAAGCATCTTGACAGGCATTCAAAGAACTGGATTTTATTTCATTGTCATTTTGCTGCTAGGGAACATGCTACAAAGAATGCATCAACACTGCACATGTATGTTGTGTGTTTGGCTTAGTTTGAAACGCTGTGTCCTTTTTGAATAGGAGGCTCTGTATTGAAATATGCCCATCCTATTTCCTCACCATTACCAAATACCCGTGTAAAGAAATTGTTTTCTTTATCTGCTCTTTTAAAAACAACAACAGAACATCGAGGTGGCTTTTAGAGTAACTCATCTAGATGCAGAGGAATCTCTGTAAACACAGAGGCCCTCCAAAATATGGTAAAATAAAATTTTGTCAGAAGTGATGTACAGAAGTGTCCTTGAATACCAAGGGAATACGAAGTACTTTATTAAATCTTCATGTAATTCCCCTTAGTTAATAGATTTACCCGATCCAAATAAATTTGAAATTTGCTGTATTTAAAATGTAGGTAAAATTGGCTGTATATAAGAAAAACTTGCAACTCCATCTTTAAAATTTCATTTTTTTCTGTGCAGATATAATTAATGAAAATGGAAGACACAGTTGATACTTCAAGTGCAGTACAGTGAGAACAGAAATTCCTGTTCTGGCACCACACCAGACATTTGAAAAAAAAGATTGAGATGAGTTATTTAGGATGGATCTTAATACTGTTTACATAAGAAATTAGCACAAGATCAATTTTTTCCTTTCTTCTCAAATATTTATTTACTTTTTTTCTTTTTTAACCCCTTCCACCCTCTTTTCAAAACCCACACAAAGCCTGAAATACAAGATCATTTAACTAGAGGATTCATACTGGGCATATACAATTATATATCACTCTCTTTATCCTGCAGCGATGCGTATCTACCAGAATGACTAAGCCTTTGTTTCTCAAAGTTCTGCTATCCGCAGCGGCAGGGGAGTTAAAAATCAGCACAAGAGAGAAAGGTCTGATGGTGTGCCAATGTACAATGGAAGAGAATTCAATAACAAGCTGCAGAGACAGTGGGCTTTTATCAGACACATTCAGAAGTGGTGGTGGCTACACGTCAATGCTGGACCAGAGTGTGTTACTGCAGAGTGCGACTGAGTGTTTTCCCCACAGGCAATACACTATTATTGACTCCCCCCATTAACATGTAGGGTGGATATACATTTATTGAAGGTTCTAATGGAAGGCTGAGGGACTCCTATCCCGAGGCCAGAGCAGAAAGACAGCCTATCACTTCATGTAATGGTAGCCCATGTGTGACAGACCTGACCTACATTTCCCCCCTTTCTTTCTCACAACAGCCTGTCACTGTTTTAAGAAGCTATTTCCTGAGAGGTATAAAAAGAAACGCATGCTAGAGCTGCCTAGTTAATGTGTCGTATTGGAATATTATTTATAAACTTGCTTTAGACTAATTTAAAGTGCAGACGAATTATGAAAGCTACCTTAAACAAACAGCCAGAAAGAATGTGCCGGAACGGTTCTGAAGTGCTTACATCCCATACACACTGAACACTAGGAATAAACTAAATTATGCCTGCATCCAAAATACTGCAATGAAATGGACTTCAAATAAAAAATAAATAAACAAAGAACTCTTAATGAAGCTGCCTTAATAAAATAAAAAGGGATAAGGTCTATAATTAGTATGAATTCCATATTCAAATTATTAGGAATAACGCCACCTAATGTTTTGTTGGAGGTAATTCAGTGTTTTCACTATCTAATGTATGTGTAGCAAAAGCTATAAATAATGGATCCACATTTGAAAGTAGGACAAGAGTGAAAGAAACATTTGGTTCAGCAACAAACAGCATTTTAAAATACCATCTCACTACTACTCCCAGACCCTGCTTATTTAAAGAGCTGCTGCCACTACAGCACTCCTTGGCAGGAACCTACCACGCTGCTGCAGGTCATACTCTTTTTTTGTCTCTTCATTCCCTAGAATTTTCCACGCTTGATCAATTTCGATGAACCTCTGCACACGCTCCTCCACTTCTCCTGCTGGCACATCTGCCTTCTGTTTGTCTGGATGATACTGCCAATCAAAAAAAAAAGAAAAGATTAAAAAAAGTTGAGGGGAGTGGAAGAGAGAAGGGGTGGAAGAGGAACAATCAATAATGCATTTGATATTCAGCTAAAAGGACAGGAAGAAAAAAAAGGAGAAGGTATGAGCTAAGGTGCCAAGGGAAGGGAGACAATGATTCTGGGCACAAGAGAAAACTGCCTATTTAATTAGACCAGTGAAATGGCAACCAAATCATCAGTGGCACAAAAGTGACCATGTGCACTGATGGCATTTTCTGGCTAATTTGCTGATGGAATCATTGGTCTTATGGACAGTTTACCTAGAGAGAGAATGACTACTACAAACAGAAACAGAGTGCAGAGGACTCTAACACTGGAACAAGAGGAGATGCTGTAGGTGCTAACATCTTTGTAAAATTACACGTAGCTGATTTCAGCAGTACTACCAACATTTAGTTAACCCTACTACACATAGACTGAATAATGTGTTGCATGTAAGTAGGCTTTTTAACTATTATTTCAAACAGTAAAAAGAATATACACGATCAAATATAATTTATAAAGCATGTAATTCTACTTTTGAAAATATGCCTCAACATCTTTAATTTCTTCCAGTTCAGTGAATCAACAGCCCTTCCAAATATTTAAAGTCATGGATCACTGGCTACAGAAAGTATGTCATTTTATTAAGAAATGGTTATTCAAGGACATAACTGCAAGAAAGCCTACATCACACAGGCAATAATAATTGAAATGGTATCACTTTTTAAACCATTTGTAACTACTGGTTCTGAACAGAGCATTCTGTCTTCTTTTTGGTTCAAATGTCTACTGAGAAGTAATCCTCAAAGCACCGCCTTCCTGTATGCCTAGTTCACCTCAAGGTATCCCTTATTCTGGAGCTTTAACTTCTGCCCCTTATACTAACATCAGTTTGGGCCCTGAGTTGTACAACAAGTGTTTTCAGACTTGGAAAATCTCTTATACAAGCGTTTCAGTAGATTTCTGATTAACTGAATTCCATTGGTTTACTTTATAATTCAATACAGAAAGACAAGAATACTAACATAGCCTGTGCTTTATAAGGTCCAAAATCTGAAAGGAGTCCATTTGGGCACTAACAGACGGTAACTTTCATTTGCACTGATGTATTATCTGTGTCAATCCCTAATTCAACAAAGTGTACCTAAGAGCAAAATGTTCATCTTCAACTTTTTTCCAGGTGTCTTTTTCCATACACACCTGAGAGTACAAAACCTGTACCCAAATGTGAAGTTTCCTCCGTGTTTGTGACTAAACATTGTCGTGCAACTCGCTGGAAATATGACTGAAGCAGTTGTGATCTGAGAGTTTACTTACAGATATCCCCAGTCTACCCCCACTCTACTATGACAGAATTCTAAGGCACAGAACAACAAAAACAAACAAACAAAAAGGAGGTAATTATATTTAGTATTCTAAATAGACAATTAGAAAATGAGTAATTATACCTTTACTTGGTAGGCACTAAACTCAGGCTTCTGCTGTCATTCATCATGTTGTATTGCTAAAGCTATTTAAAAGCATCATTTTTCAAATCCATTTTTCTGAAACCACAGCTTTTCCAATTGTATTTTAATTGACAACTGATTGTATATCAATGTGTGGAAGGTCTGCTTTTATAACCAGTGCTTAATAAGAATATGAGGCAGAACAGTTCACATTAAAGGCTTACATGATTTGCTTTTACAGAATCACAGAATGGCCAGGGTTGGAAGGGACCTCAAGGATCATGAATCTCCAACCCTCCTGCCACAGGCAGGGCCACCAACCTCCACATTTAACACTGGACCAGGCTGCCCAGGGCCATGATATTTTAAAAATATGAACATATTTTTAGGTAGGTATTCCGCAGTTATTCCTCAAAGCAATATTTTACCTGAAAAATATTAATGAATTATTGTAAACATTCAGATGCTATTATTTAAAATTGATTCACCCAAATATTTTAGGGATAATTACAGTACATGTTAAAAAAATAAAAATAAGTTTTATGACTGCTGCATATTTTATTGCACTTGATGCAGTGAGCACTCCCCTACAAGTTTACATGCAAAAGAACTTCTGAAGTTTCTAACTAGGCCTTCTCAAGGAGTGTTGTACCAGACTTTGTGCCACTGAAACCTCATTAGCTCCAGCTGAATAGCAGCACCACAAAACCACTGCTCTTATTACTGTATGTTTGGATAGGGCACACCTTCTCTCTCAGTTTCTTACAGATGACTGATTGCCCAAAACAGCACTAAGATCATCAGCTTCTCTCCTGCCAAGGACACCTGAGAAAGCACCCCCACAAAACCACTTTTCCTTTGCTACACTAAACCTGACAGACTGAAAAATATTTTGGAAGTGTCTTAAAAATACTCTGGAAAAATAATAATGAATGCAGAAAAGGCTATTGTGTTCATTTCTTAAATGAAGTGTTAAGATTCATTACTTTTCAGGCTCATCCTTCAGCTTTTCTTTCCTATAGAATTAATAACTACATTGCAGGGCATTTACTGATTAAATCTTCATGCTTTCTCCTTCTTGTCTTGGAGCTATTACTCTGTTACCATCTGATAAGCTTAGCCTTTCCCTCTGCACTAAGAAAAATCCTCAGACTTCTGCTCTTTCACTTTGAACCTTTAATTTCCTGTTTCGTTTGAACTTGTTTTGGACCTGTTCTCATTGACTCCCTTTTCCTACTGTCCAGCTTGCAGATCAAAATACAGGAATACTTTCCTTTGATGCAAAAATGCATTCATGATTCAGCTAGCCATAGAATCTTCTTCCACCTGTAAGGTAAGAAATGAGGTGTCCTCTTTTCCAGCCGTTTTAGACCCCTGTCAGGCAGATCAGACACCAGCCACAGAGAACACCAACAAACTTTCAACCAACCCACTAATATCTGCCCTCTATGCAGAGTACTCTTAATGTCCTCTGTCAGTGCTTCAGACTTTAATCAAACTCTTTCCTGGCATTTTCTTCCATTCTTAGTTGCCACATTCATGCTTCCAATTCTTTTACCTCTCCAGTTTCCCCTTCAGATAAAGCTGTCTCAACACCAGCCAGGAGTTTTGTTCTGAGGAAGGTTAAATCTGATGTATGTTTCTGATCTCCTCCTCCCATTCAGCTTTATTTCTAGGCTAATCTCAGCTGTGAACACGTTACAAGCTGTATGATGAAAACAGACAAGCCTGTTTTCTACTCGACTTGTCTCCTCCTACACAAACGGAACTTTTGCTCGTCTCTCCTTACGTATGTCCAGCTGTAAGTTCTTACTCAGAATGTTGGTGCCTACCAACATCTCCTACAATATCTCTTCTCAAAATCTGTGCAAATTATCTTCCTGTCATTCCTACTTGCCACTTGAGCACTATTTTCAGCTGTATTACTGCACTTAGGCTATATTTATCTTTCTAGCTACATACGCTTTTGAAGGAACAATATTTCCATAAAGATAGCTTTTTGCTGATCATTCATGTGTTTACTTTTGGACAGTTTTCTTTCTGAACCCAGCAATAACTTTTACCAACATGTTACTACTTAATAGAACTTTATAAAAACAAATAAGGATGTCTTCCTGAGACTGACGGAGGAGGAAGAAAGCTAGAATCTAACTTTCCTTTTCAAACTACTACTTGAGGTGATTTGCCAGCTAATTTTTGTTGCTGAAGACTACGTGGAATCAGTATTGCTTTACATTATATGATGCTTTGTAGTTAATAATGGTGTTAAACTAATGGAAACGTATAACCTGATCTTTTCACTATCAGAAAACCATTATGCACCTATAGAGTATTGCTTACTCCCCTGTTTATTTTAAGTCACATGGTGGATAGCACTTGTGGACTCACACTCTTGCTGTTAGGGTTCAGATTTTTGATTTGTTTTCTTAGTTTTAGAAAGTAAGCTCATATGAAGAACACACACGTTAAACATCATCTGTTGAAGACTCAGTCAAATTTTTTGGTGCTGCAGAGAAACAGAAAAACAGCCTAATACAAATTTAGCCCCATGTACTTTTCAATTCCAGTAGCATTAGTTTACCTTTCTAATACAGCTACATGATGGTACTGAACTGTCTTATTGTTAATTAATATACACCAAATTGTGCACTGCTGCAGTTTGGGTGCAGTGAGTAATTTCCCCTGGCAAATGACTGAAAGAGATATAGTTCAGTCGTAGTTTAGATCTAAATAGCCAAATGTTTAGAAATAATTCATGGAAGATCTTAGTAATTTTATTTCACTATGATCATCTACTGCCTTCAATATCTGTCACAGAATAAAAACAAAGCATTTTTTTTTTTTTTTTTCTCAGCAGGGTTAGTATTGTTTTGTTCACAAAATAATTAATTTGTGGACTGTCTCCAAAAATTACTCCATCAATCATGTACTGACACAGGCTTGTAAACTACTAGTCTACTAACTTCTTATTGATTCTTGCAGCTGATAAGTGCATTGCCTTAGCATTTAGTTTTAGCATTACAGTAGTCATAAACAAGTTAAACAATTCCCAAACATGCATGGTTTTCACTCACATCACTTGTAGAAAGAACCCAAAACATTCTGTAGATAACACTGGCATGTGCTACTGTCTTTATTTCTGCCTACTTTATACTCTGTGAAGTTTGGTCCATTTTGCACTTTAAGAATTGAAAAATCAATCACTGCACCACATGGAAGTAAATGAAGACCACCTGGTCACTACATCTGAATAACAGTGTGAACAGAGCTTTAGAACTCTCGTTGCACAGGATGGGAAACTAAGATAGTTGGCTGAGTTTTGGTTGCACAAATCCAGCAACACAGGTGACACACAAAGGTCCCTATCCTCCCAGCACTTGTACAAGTTACTTCACTTCATGCAATAAAGGTAATGGGATTGATTGATTTTAATCAAATTCAAATTAGCAAGCAGAAAATTTTTAGTTAAATCAATTTAATGTACATTCCTTATTGGTGCTAATGAACTTACTCTTCAAAA